AGAATATTGTGGTGTCATCGAGAAATGTAAATAATTAGAGCCTAATGATTTCTTATATTTAAGCGAAGACTACACATTGAAATAATACTAGTTTTTACGGAATTTATCGCGTATATTTTAACTTTTTAAATACCCGACGTTTCGAACGCTTTCCAGCACTCATGGTCACGGGCAGGACTGAGATGTTCAACGTCCATATGTCATAGTTAACCGCGGTTACCATAGATTAAAATTTAACTTTTGTTCCGATCTATGCAGTATGAACTTATGGTATCTTGAAGTCTTACAGTTGTATGTTGTACACTACAAGCTTGATTGTGAATGTGGTCTCTCCTACATAGGACAAACTAAAAGATCAATAAAAACCCGCGTTAAAGAACATATAGCTGATGTGAAGAATCGACGCTCCGGAAAGTCTGCAGTCTGTGAACACGTACAGGATCGCCCCCGTCACTACATCAGATTTGATAGACCGCAGATCCTCGCTAAAGAACACCGATTCCTTCCAAGGATGATTCGCGAGGCTATTGAAATCAAAAAACATCCTAATTTCAATAGAGAAGATGGCTGGGTGCTACCATCTGCTTGGGATCCTATAATAAATAAAATTAAATCCCAACCCAAGCATACAACTGTAAGACTTCAAGATACCATAAGTTCATACTGCATAGATCGGAACAAAAGTTAAATTTTAATCTATGGTAACCGCGGTTAACTATGACATATGGACGTTGAACATCTCAGTCCTGCCCGTGACCATGAGTGCTGGAAAGCGTTCGAAACGTCGGGTATTTAAACTATGACATATGGACGTTGAACATCTCGGTCCTGCCCGTGACCATGAGTGCTGGAAAGCGTACGAAACGTCGGGTATTTAAAAAGTTAAAATATACGCGATAAATTCCGTAAAAACCAGTATTATTTCAATTAGAGCCTACTTTGCAATTTTTTTCTCTTGAGAAAATTACACGATATCGTTCCTTTTACGCAATCCAAGGTCATATAGTTAAAAATCATATAGGTACCAAAATTTTGGTTTGTAATTTAAAAAACTTAAAAAAATATATTAAATAGCAAAACCACCAAATTTTCGTTTCGTAATTTGTGTTTCGTATGGTGAGTGTAACGAACCGGAGACCCTTTTTACTAGAAACGAGGCACTCCATCTTAGTCCTCAGGTGTGATAACGCATCTGCATTTTGATTCGTAGTAGAGGATAGATGTAGATGTCTATGGGCCACAGCAACCACTTACCATCAGGTGGACTGTGTGCTCGTTTGTCAAAAAATATATATAAGAAAAAAAACCTGCAAAATCACGGTGGAAAAAATTAAAACATTCATAATAATAGCTAATAACTACAGAGCAAGATTGTTTACGGCAAATTTATTATTAACTGTCTCGTTGGTCTATTGGTTGTAGTGTTGCGACTGCTGATCATGAGGTCCTGGGTTCGAATCCCGGGTCGGGCCAAAAAATTAATCATTGTGTTTTCCGTCAATAAATTCTCAGTAGTTACCCGGAAGCAGGAAGTTGGCGGTGTTCCACCCCCGTGCCTTGGAAAGCACGTAAAGCCGTTGGTCCTGCGCCTGTTCTCTCTATCCGGTCGTGTCGGTTTACCGTCCCATCGGATTATGAGAGTGAGGGAAAATAGAGAGAGTGCACCTGTGCTTGCGCATACACTTGGGCACTATAATCCTGTCCTGCGCCGATGGCTAGCCTTCGTTGAGACAGGCCACCGTGACCGAAATTCGGTCTGGAGGACATTATATTATAACAAATGATTATATATACTTATTATAAAACTATATGTTTCAAAGGTATTACTAAAAAATAAGTACTCAATACAAGGGTTCAAAGTTGGGTAGGCAATTTTTTAGGGTATATATTTCAAAAGACCATCGTTATATATATACTACGCACTAGATATGGCATTCCGAACCTCACTATGTTCAACTGAACTGTACAGCAATCCGTACACCTTACTTCCATCAACAATTATAGACTAAAACATGCAGATGTTCCATTACAAAACCGAATGTAGGTAAAATATTTTACTGAACAAAGACTACGTGGTGTTTTAGTGAGTGATTTAATTTTTTTAATTGTTTATATTTATGAATTCTTATTTTATGTTCTATCTTTTTAGTATAAATAACTAACTAATGTTTGTTTGTTTTTATACAGGTTGTCCCAGAACGTAACAATTAAACGAAAGGGGGTTGTAGACCATGGAAGAACTGTTCAAAAAAAATTAAGTCCTATTCCCAAATTGCGTTGTTTAAAAGATAAAGGCTGATTTGTAAATTTTCAAGAAAATCACCCTTTGCGTCAATATTTTTAATGCTGCATCTGCAAATGCGGACCGATTAAAATTTTTTTTCTGTTTCTAATGATATGCTTACTACTATACTATACTATTTTATTTTTCACTACCTATTAAGGTATGTTAGAAATTAATACACAAAAATTCGTAAAAGTGTAAAATTGTAACATTAAAGTTTTATCGAGCAAGTTGGACCCCTCATACTGTAAAAAAATGTATGCACATGATCCTGGCAACTGTATTCAAAAGTTGGCGCAATTCATGTAAATTTCAAAATAGTTTAATATTTGGTACTTTTATTTCAACTTTTTGTGCTATAATTTTTTTCTGGCAGAGGGAAGATTTTGTGCATTGTGAATTATAATAATCTATATGTTATGAAATTTTGCAGTCAGTAATATTAAAGTTTATTTCTGATCGTTTTAAGATAATTCTGTTAACAGTATGTTCAATTTATAATAATATTTTTTTATTCTGAATAACAATAACATAATAAAATTAAAAAAATATATTTTCTATTCTTGATTGAGAATTTATTTAACATTTTTTCACAAACAGCCAGCGTGAAATAGTAGCTTAATGCTGCTGTGTTTCATATGGTGAGTGTGGCAGCGCTGTCGTCACGCCACCAAAGCACAGCTGTTCAGCACGGCTCTGAGCCTTACTGCTCGCCTCTGCTTCACGGCACTCTCGAAGGTTACACGCCTTCTTATCGACTCACCGCAGACTAGAAGGCAATCCACTGGCACTTCCACATTCGTCGGCAACGAGGCTGCACTATCGACCTCCGATCTGAGCAGGGGAGTGATGTGGCGACGCTGTCGTCGCACCGCAAGCGAAACACACTGAAGCCTAAATCACGCTATCAATATTCCGAATCATAAACAGTATATATAGAACATCTCCGAACTGTCACACGGAGTGTTGGCCGCTCCCCGGGCGGAACACCTTGCCCGGCGGGAGATCTCCCCTTTTCCTTCCACGGCCACAGTGAGTGTAGAGAACCGGAGACCCTTTTTACTGGAAACGAGGCATTCTATCTTATCAACAGTACCATTACTATTATTGATCGAAGTTTGTGATGTCCTATTAAAAATCCTTAAATTCGCAAAAAAACTTATCTCTCAAGTAGGACCCACACTGCACACGGTGTGTAAATTTGAACTTCTGTTAAGTTCACTTCGGTTATGTAGTTTAGGAGTCCATCGCAGACAAACAACGTGACACGTAGCTATTGCATAGCTTCTATCGCGGGCCTTGAGCCTGGGGACCGAATCCAGAAATTTATTCCGCCGTAACGAAAAAACCTCACGCTCCCCACTCCGACGGGCACGGAGGTGTGGCTTGAAGGCCGTGCATTGTCTAACGTCGTTTCTTTTTTCGGCAGTCTTCGACACGGTGTTTGTGTATAAAGTGTTTTGAATATGAATTAACAAAGTGCATTTATTATTAATGAAGAAATTCACGAAATAATAGTGAAAGAAAATGAGTGAGTACGCTATATACATACATTTTATTATTATCACAAATGCAGTACTAATTTTGAATTGAAAATATAATACTGCTATAAAGATAACCTAAATTTTTGATATTAAAATGAACGCTCAAGGCTCGCGATAGAAGCTATGCAATAGCTTAAAACAAGTTTTTAATTTTTCTGTATGTGTAGATTGGGTAGGCAGAACTACAAAACGCTATGTACGATTGTTATAAAAATAAAAGTTATATTTGTTGGCGTAAACTATTTAATTGATTTATAAGTTTGGGAAATAAATTATGTCAACATAGATTACAATATAACGCTGTTTTATTTTATTACATTACAATATTGAATTTTTTATCAAAACAGAAGTACCTATTGGAAGCAACATAATTATGCTGATACATGCCTATTCACTCAAAACTATGGTAAGAAACTATAATTCGTAAACAAGAGATAACAACAAATCTATAACACGATTTATTTTGTGATAATAACTAGAAAGTTTGAAAATAATATTTCCTAATTTCGAAGCACTCAACAAAAGCTTTTAGTAAAACAAAAATATAAATCCTATACATACGAGCAATTCTTGTATATATACAACATGTAACAAAAACCCTGTGGTTCCCGTTAACTGCGTTATCAGAATCAGTATCCAAGCATATAGAAATAATTTTTTTCAAAAAATATCACACTTAAAAAAATTAATAAAAAAAATTAATTTGCAAATTGTATGTGGTTTTATTATCTCTGCATTGGCACAGGAGTAAGAAGAATGTCAAAGACCGCGCATTACCGATACTCGTGTGAGTTACAGATATTAAAACTACATATAATTCGCAAATTATTTTTTTTTCATCAAAATAAATTTTTTTAAATGTGTTTTTTTGAAAAAAAATTATTTCTATATGCTTGGATATTGATTCTGATAACACACTTAACGGGAACCACAGGGTTTTTGTTACATATTGTATAATATATAATCGGAATCTCGGAAACGGCTCCAACGATTTTCATAAAATTTAAGGCGTTAGTACACCTACGCATTCGTATGCGGCAGCGAGTCTCTGCGGAACTACTGCGTAGCGAAATATTTGCGGAACGTTAGTACACAGCAATGTTTTCGCAACTTTTTCGCAATGACATGCCATTGTAATTTTCGACGACTGCAGGTGCAGACGTAATTTCAGAATGTCATCTCAGTCATCGCTTTCAGATTCTGAAGAAGAAGAATTGTTATTGCTGGTGTCAGTACTAAAGAGAAAGCGTAGAATCTGGGTGCATGAAATGAATCAGAAACGACGGAAACTTGGAGAAAATAAACTGTGCTTAGAACTTCAATCACATGAAGATCGTTTCTATACCTATTTCAGAATGAAGCCAGAAACTTTTGAATATTTACACAATCTTCTTGAACCTCATATTAAAAAGAAAAATACAAACTACAGAGAGGCTATTCCAACAAAAGAAAGACTGGCACTTTGTTTAATGTAAGAAAATTTATTACTTATAGGTAATGTTTAAGTATTTATTCACGGTTCATTCCAATTACAAAGAAATTCATGTATATTTTTTTGATGTGTTGTGTTCTCGTTTTTTTGTTGTCGTGATACTTGGGTGTGTGTAATTCTTCTGCCACTGGGTATGTGTATCAGTGTAGGAGTTAAAACGTTTTGAGTGTCTGGGATTGAATGTGTTTGCGTGTTAGGTATATGTATCTGTGCAGTTGAAACGTTTTGAGTGTCTGGGATAGAATGTGTTTGAGTATTAGGTATGTGTATCTGTGCAGTTGAAACGTTTTGAGTGTCTGGGATGGAATGTGTTTGCAGTTCTTCAGATGGTGTCGATCTTGAAATGTTCCAGTCGTTATCGACGTAGTAAAAATTGGGAGTACTAGAGGATGAAGCATTGCTGAAATTAGAATTTGGCCGGCTATTATTCAATTCTTCAAGTTGAGCCTCAGTTATAATTTGTGTTATTTGAAGTTTAATAATAGCTTGCTTTCGTAGAGAAAATTTCTTTACAGTATGGGCATAACCTAAAAAATCCATGTCCATTCGATCACACGGTATTTTGACAAGATTTTCTGTAGCGTTTCTGTCCGTAGTACCCGATTTTCGAGTCTTTAAATAATTTATAATCTTCTCAGCAGGATCGTCGTTGCTTACATGGCGTCGTCTTCTCCGGGATACTTCAGTTGCAGTTTCAGCTGTAGTTTCAGCTGTAGACCGTGCTGTCTCCAGTTCTTGAACGACGAGCTCGTTCTGTTCATTATTTGAAACCTGTTCGGTTTCTGTAGAATTTTCATAATCATTCTCTATAGATATAGTACTGGTATCCAGTGTACTTTCAGTTTGTCTCAAGTTTGTGGATGAATCTATGAACGACATCTGTTCAGCCCATTGCCAATTAGCAAGCTTCTTCGCGGCTTGTCCACTGCTTGTTTGCTGACCCTGTTTATATTTTTTATAAGTGTCCCTTAGGTTTCTCCATTTATTTTTCATAGTTTTAACTGTAACAATATTTCAGGTTTTTAGCAACTGGTGACACATACACAACAATATCTTTTTCTTATCGTTTGGGTGAATGCACCGTTTCAAAGATAGTAACTCAAGTATGCGAACAAATTTGGAAGATACTACAGCCAGAGTACATCCCGGTTCCTTCTACTAAAACATGGTTGGAAATAGCTGAAGCATTTCAAACAATATGGGGTTTTCCTAATTGCCTCGGGAGTATTGACGGCAAGCATATTGTTATTAAATGTCCACCTAACAGCGGCTCACTGTTCTATTGCTATAAAAAACGATTTTCTACTGTGTTATTGGCAATAGTTGATCCACATTACAAATTTACTTACATAGATGTAGGATCATATGGTAAAGATTCCGATAGTTTATTATTTGAAAACTCATCATTTTATCAGCTTTTAAAAAGTGGACGGGATCTGAATTTGCCAGCTCCAAAACCTTTGCCAGGTTTCCAACAGACTATTGCAGATGGAGGATTTAAATTAGAAACCTTTCTAATGAGACCTTTCACTAGAGACGCAGCAATGAATGACAATGATAAAAAAAGATTTAATAAATCATTAAGTAGGGCACGAGTAGTAGTAGAATGTGCGTTTGGCATTTTAGCACAAAAATTTAGAAAATTCTTGAGGCCCTTTGAAACAGATTTGAATAATACTATTAAAATTGTTAAAGCTGCAGTATGCTTGCATAACTTATTGCAGATACAAGAAGGTACATACGAAAATAAAAAAATTTCGGACACTTTAAGAGCATTCGTACCAATGCATGCCAATAGACATAGGGCAGACTTAGCAGCGTTTAATGTTCAATCACAATTTGTAAATTATTTCAAAGAAAATTAAAAACATAAAATGTATGCCTGTATGAAATATAAACAATAAATTTCTTACCATCTATCCGAGTCTTTTCTTGAAGTTTTCTCCATGTTGTACGTATTTTTATAATTTGCGTGTCCAATTGCATATAATACGGGATAATCTCGAATAGAATGCAAAAATAATTCAGTATTTTCGGCATCCATGGCGCGAAAATCTGTCCTCACCGACAGAACGCGAGCTGACGCTTTGCGATGCGAAACATCACTAGCAATGTACTCTGTGATCACTAGCGAAACGTATGCGTCTGTGTAACGGCCATTTCGCAGGTCCTTGCGAAACAATACTGACAAGGACGCAACTATTTCATCTATCTATGTGCTAGAGTGAGACATATCATATGCGAAAACCTGTCACACTACTTACAGTTTTTTCGTTGTTTCGCTACCGCATACGAATGCGTAGGTGTACTAACGCCTTTAGTGTCCAGGGATTTTTGGGGGCAATTAATCGATCTAGCTAGGATTCATTTTTAGAAAATGTCGTTTTGTCCGTGTTTTCAGGCAATGATAAACTGCTACAATATAAGAAGGTAAATTTTGACACTATATTAATGATCGTGATAGCTCAAGTGGATATCGGACTTCACTATTGTTTTTCTCAGTATATAATGTAAGTTATTGCCTATAAAGGTCAAGCGCATACACATTTTATTGTATAGAAGTGATAAAATGATTAGTTTTAAAGAAAGAGATCTGTGTTTAGTGTATATTTTGATTAAAACATGTATGGACGGACGGATGAATGTGGAGTTCTGAGTCAATAAAATTTTATTCAAACTCAAAGTGATTTCGTACAATATGGACGGAGGTCTTCGCTAAACATCGCTAGATGGCGCGCGTAGAGTAAGCTTTCTGTGATAAGCTGATAAGTCCAATTCGAACGACCTTTCGATTATTTGCTATCTATGGTTTCGGGTCTAGACTTAGAGTAATTACATACAGGTGCAGAAGAGGTGAAATATTTGACAGATTTCATAGCGCGGAAAGTTAATTTGTTAGAAAAGTGTACGGATTAATATTTCTTTATGAAATATAGTTGTTTTATATTAATTAGATTAAAAATGGGTAAACCAAAGCAAAGTTAATAAATGTGTTCAAAATTAAAGAGTAAAGTACGATTTTTTAAATCTTTTAATTGAAACGCAACTTTTAATGATGATGACACCGTAACCATCAGCGCTCTTATCTATGCATCTATACGACAAATAAGTTCATTTTAGCATAGAATATACCTTCTTTACTATCAGAAGTTACGTAGTACTATTATTTATTCTGTGCCTAAGTTTATATATTAAGTACCAACTAGCGACATCTACTGAACGTAAGTTTAATAACACTCATTATATCGTCGAATAAAATCGATTCTGTCGGATTAAGGCCAGCAGATCTTTCAACGCAAATCATACAAGGAACTGTTTATTTCGTACTGTCCTTCTGCCGCACCTATAGAGATTGTAGCAAAAAATATAATGGTTCCCACAGACCACCCAACCTAAGGTTGGCCTGTGGTGGTCCTACTGTGTCTCAATCACAACCATAGATAATATACGAGTACGTCACAACTCCTCCTCCATAGTATGGAGTGTAGAAGTAAGGAGTACCAACTCCCATAGTAGAATACATGAAGGTTAGAGAACAGGAGAACGATCACTACGTACTAAAGCATAGCCCGCCTGTCCTTGAAAATTGTAGAATGTATAGCGGCGCTGACGTCGGTGAGTAGTGACTGCGAAGTTAGCTGTTTATGAAGTTAGTTCAATAATGTACAAATTTTCTTCTCGGTATTGGTAAGAAAATTTTCATGCTCCGTAATTTTGTAATTTTTGACAAAAAGAAACATTAAAAAATGGAGAAATATTTTATTGTGCGTAGATATGCAAGTGGTTTAGCATTTGATCGGAAAAATAGACTCAAAATGTCTTTTATCGACCGAACCTCGAGCGATCGCAGCGCCTCACTTATGGAGTCCATATTTCTGGACACTGTTTTCTACGGTGATCGTTCTCCTGTTCTCTAACCTTCATGGTAGAATAGTTGCAAAAGTGGCCATGTGTAAGCAGTAAATAACAGTTCAAAACCTCTCCACAACAGCGCTGGAGTAGCTACTGGGATGAAATGAACTTAGCAGTTGTCGACGGTTTAAATGTGCTGCTAAACTGCTCAGTAGCTCTAAAATCTAAAATAATTTTATGTAGTAAATATAACCTCGAAAAAGTCGTCTATCCCACTAATATTTTTCGGTGCGTTCTTTAAAGTATACCCCGTAGCTATAGTGGCGCCACCCTTATTTAACGGTTTTGTATGGACACTTTTTAATACACAGTCTGTACTCCTTACTTCTACACTCCATAGAAATATCTTTAGCTTTTCAACCGTCATCAAAAAAGAAGGAGGTTCTCAACTCGACTATATTTTTTATGTGTGTTACATCAGAACTTTCTCCTAGGTGAATCGATTTTGACGTTTCTTTTTTATTTGAAAGCTGGTGCTTCTCATGTGTTTCCACATACATTTGATTAAGACCTGACTAGTAGTTTTTGAGTTGTGGTCTCATTTTATTTATATTGAAGTCGGTTATACATTTTTAATTTTACTACTTGTTTTATTATAAATAATTCTTCTGTCCGCGTGTATGTGACTGAACTCCTCCTCAGCAGCTGAACCGACTTTAATGAAATTGTGTGTGTGTGATTAAGTTGATTCAAGAATGGCTTAGATTTACAATTGGACCCGGTAGGTGGCGCTGTTATCGAGATCTACATATCACCTGTGCGAAGCCGTGGCGGATCGCTGGTATTACTATAAGTATATTCGGAGGGCGCTGGAGCTGAAGATGCACTAGAGGTGTGTCAATCATGAATGATTCGTTCGTTTGAGCTGGTACACTTAAAAGTATTGATGGTTCATTCATCTGTTATTGAATGTTCCGGTAAAACCAATCACAAACAATTGACGCAACCTTTTTAACTCGTGATTGGTGTGAATTGTTAATGAGTCGAAAACAGACCGAATCCCGAATGATTTGTTTTTGTCTAGGGTACTGGAGCCCGAAACGATCTATTTGAATGATCGATCCGAATGTA